TCACCCGTGTTATTCTCGTATTAGCTGATTTGTATCAAACCAAATCCTATATATATCTGAAGCAGACTAATAACAGCAAATTCCATATACTATTCAATGTTTCTAATTATATACCAATACACACTAAAATGATGTAATTTCTATTTTTGTCATTAATTATTAACAAATATTAATGACCATTTATTACATGTAAAATGTTATGCTGGCAGATAATTGGGAGAGCATTAGGAGGCAAGACAGGAAGAGCAGCCAAAGGATGGGATATAGGGGTGACTTCCATTGATCCCTCTTCTAACTTGAGCAAGTTTTTCTCTCCACTCGAAGCCCCCTCTCAACTTTCCGTGATTGAGTGCCACCGCGACGAGGTTAAATAAACTAGAGAATTTATAGATCGAGTAATATGGACGAATATGTTTATATCTGGTAGTTAAAATTGAGTCTGAAATGTTTGAATCATGTTGTTCAGGTGTGGGAGTTGCCGCCGTCCGTCGAAGTATTAGCTCGATCAGATAGGACGGAAATTGAGATGTTCAAATTCGACGATCATATCATGGGAATTCAAGGTCATCCCGAGTACACCAAAGATATCCTTTTGCACCTCATCGATCGCCTTCTTGATCTCAATCTCATTCAGGTGAATTTTTGCTCTTTAATCAATCAATATGACATATTATATATTTATATATATATTTTTTATTTATATGAGAGTAAATTTGGATAATTTGATGCAGAGAGAGCATGCTGAAAATGTGAAGAAGGAATTGAATGAGAGAGAGCCAGATAGGGAAGCTTGGGAGAAGCTGTGCAGAGGGTTCTTGAAAGGGAAGTTAGAGATGAACCAATGAACAAAGTTGTAATTTAGGAGAAGTTGGAGGTTAGAAGTATTTGTAGTATTTATATAATGGAAATTATATTATTTAATGAATATTGTAATTATGTTTGTGTTGTTATTTATTGTTAAAGATTGTATGGGAATCAGAAGAATTCGTTGTTTGTGAGTTAAGCTTCATGTACTAACAAGCTAAGCTCAAACTAACCCGAACTCTACTCATTAGTTTATGAGTCGGCTTATTTTTGAAAAACAACAATTGTTCGATGATAATTGAACTCTCTTATGTATAAATGCATCACTTTCCTTTTGTTTTGGCGAGCCCAAATACTTCTAGTATGTCTTCCCAAACGGTGATAAGCGGAAACAACACGAGGATCTACTCTTCTCCCTCTTCATAAGCATTGACAATATAAAAATCCTACAAGTTTCAAAACAATCAAAAAGGTAATGTTCAAATTAATTTGACATCATGTAATACAACCATATCATACTACAAGATTATTTTTAGATTAATTTGACATCATAATATAATGATGTTGTGATGCATGGTTGATTCCAAAAATTATGCAAAAAATCATAATAATTTATAAATATAATGCATTTAATTTGTGTGTCAGAGAGTGTAATTTTGCCCGAACATTTAATACATAAATAACAACATCAAGATTTAATCAATAGCTTTTACGGCAATAGATTTAAGTATCTGTTTGAGATAGCTGCTATTTATGAAACAGTAAAAAAAATAAGATGATGTTATAAAAATATGTGGTGGCTATTATAATTTTTTTTTTTTGAAAAAATTGGACCGTAACTAGAAAGCTGCTACCGCACCTAATTAGGATCGGTGGAAAATGCTAATTTCAACAGCAAATTTTTGAAAAAGCTGTTAAGATATAGTTTATCTAAACCTGTAAATCTGTCACAAACAGACTCTTAAAGCAGAATTAAACAGATTTATTTTTTTATTTAATCTTGGTAACAAATTATTTTAATTTATTTTTATTTAAATTAAATTTATTAATTAAATTGATTAATAAATAATAATTAATTCATATATTATCAATTTAATAATAATTAGATTAATTTACATTTAATTATTTAATAATTAATTAATAAATAAAAGTGCATTTTAAAATTTTAAAATGTTTAATAAATTTCTTAAATAATCTTAATCAATATAATTAATAACAATTAATTAATATTGTGTTAATGTTAATTTATTGTTTAACAAGTAATTTTGTTTAATAATTTTTTTCTTAATAATCAATTAGTTTAGTGAATAATTAAATATTAATTAGTATAATTAATAATAAAATTTAATGGATTTTAATTAAATTTAATAATTAATTTTTATTATATTAATAAAATAATCACAAAGTTTAATTATAACTTTTTGCCATAACAAACATAACAACATTTTAAATCTTGACATAAGTACATAAACAAATTTACATGATTTAATTAGATATATTTAATTCCTTGACAAACAATTTTTAAAATTTAATATTTCTAAAGTTTATTAAATCTAAATTCACTAAATCTACTTAAACACAACTAATCGCGTAATGAGAGAAAAAAAACTCGTCTGAGGTAGCGGCGGTGTTTTCAAAACGTCGTCCTACTGTTTGGAAACTGTATTTGAACAGTTTATCCGAAAATGTGATTTATAAATAAACGACTTATTCGAATAAACACAAACTGCCCCCAAACACGACTTATTCGAATAAACATAAGCTGCCCCC